AAACCAAAATGAAAAAAAAAAAAAAGTATAGTTTTTATTACATTATTGGGTGTACAACTCCTGAATCTTAGTCTGAATTCCAATGAAAGCCACTGGTCTGTAGTAAAAGAAGAACAACAAAGACATAGTGAAATTTTTATTAAATTAAATGTATATCAATTGAAGTAGTGTCCATAGTTTTCAGAATGTGCTCTTCCTATTTTTTTTTTTCAAATAAAAAATAAAATTTTCATAACTTACTGTGTACAACATGATGTCTTTTAATATGTATACATTGTGGAATGGCTTGATAAAGCTCAATAATTAAAAATAAAATTACCATATGACCAAGAAATCTCACTCCCGGGTACATATCCAAGGAAATGAAATTAGTATGTTGAAGAAATATCTGTACTCTCATGTGCATTGCAGCATTATTTACAATAGCCAAGATATGGAATCAGCCTGTTTCTATCAACAAGTGGATGGATAAAGAAAATGTGATACACACATACACATTGAAATACTATTCATCCTAAAAAGAAAAGGAAATCCTGTCATTTGCAACAATATGGATGAACCCAGAGAACATTTCAGTCATTCTCCTTCACAACTGTAATAAAATCCACACTGCCATGGTTTATAAGACCCTTCTTCATCTGGACCCCATACTCTCTCGCCTTATTGACTGTTCTGGTATTTGTTCCTTGAGCCCAGCAACAACCTTAGGTTCTAGTTCTCTCTAAACAACAAGCAGGCCCTTGCTCAAGGATCTCTTCCATAGAGTTACATTACTGACCCCTCACATAATATATACCCTTAACCCCAAATACATCAAATCTTATTATCCTGTTTTATTCTCTTTAAAGCCTTATCACTATCTGAAAATATTTTATTTATTTATGTAGTTTTCTTGTTAATCCTTAGCATCCCTCAGTAGGATATAAAATCCATGAGGCAATGACCACTATTCTCAAACTCTATAATAACGTTTGACCCATAATAAGAATGGAAGATAGATTGATTGAATGAATGAATGAAAAAATTAACCGTAACCAGTAACAATTAAACATTTAGCAGTAATTAATTATTCATTGAAAAATAATTAATGTACATGGAATTAAAATTTTAAACATTGCAGAAGCCATTAAATTTCAAGTAAAATTGAAATAAATAATTAAATTAATCTCTATATTTCGCTCCTGGTCCCTTTCTTACAGGTGGATTTTTAAAAATGTTTTCCCTTTTTGGTTTTTATTGCCTTCATTAATCTAAATAATATTCTTATAACTGTTTGCTTTGAGTTTTAAACTTTACAGGGTGATTACTAAACTTTATTGGAGATTATTTTCCTGATTTAAATCTGAGAACAATTTGTCACATGTTTCGAGTTTAGAAGGTAACACACAGATGGTTCTTTAATCAATTCCTTCATTTCCTATTTCTCCTTCTACATCTGTTATCCTGCTCTCATTATTTACTGTTTTGTGGTGGCTTTTCTCTGGAAGAATAAACACTATCACTTCTGTCTCAGTCATTTCTTCTGTGAGCTCTGGGTTACATACAGCTCCCTGTGCTTCAGTTTATTCACCACTACCATACCATCCACTTTTTATCGTCCTGAAATGTGCCAAACTATTTAACCTACTGGTGTCCCCTACTATAATGCTCATCACTTTTTCTTTATGGTAATTTCAATGTGCTTCAAAAGGAAGAAAAAAGTTTATGCTTTGTCTACCATAATTAAGGAAAGTTATCATACAGCGAACATTTACCAATAGCACTTATTGATGAAATTCATTTCCCAAGCAATTTTTATGTACAAAGAACACATCCAAATTCAGGAAACAAGTCAGATAAACTCAAAAAAATCATACTGAGACACACTAAAATTGGCATATCCACACCAAGACATTAAAATTGGCAATGATTAAAGACAAAGTTTTGAAAGTAGCAAAAGAAAAGCAACTTGTCATGTACGAGGGCAGCACCATACACTTTCAAGGGATTTCTCAGCAGAAACGTTGCTGGCCAAAAGAAAATGGAATTTAAATGCTGAAAGAAAGAAAAAATAGTAATAACCTGCCAACCAAGAATATTATACCTGGAAGAACCATCTTTCAAAAATGAAGCAGAAATAAGATTTTCCCAGACAAATAAAAGCTGAAGAAGTTCATCATCACTAGATCCATTTTAAAAGATATGCTAAAGGAAGTTCTTCTAGTTAACATGAAAGGATATCAAACAGAAATATAAATATATGTAAAAGTATAAAAGTTACTGAAAAAAGTAATAGAAAAATCCAGAATACTGTAATATCATAATGGTGGTGGGTAAATCATTTTTAATTCTAGTATAAAAGTTGAAAGACAAAAGTATTAAAAATAACTACAAATAAAAATATGTTAAAAGAAACAATATGAATAAAGGTAACTTGTGACAATTACAAAGTATGTGTGTGGAAGGAGAGAAATTAAAATGCAGAGCTTTTATATGTGATTGAAGTTGTTTACAGTTTAAAATAGATTATTTTAAGTTGTTTTATGTAAGCCCCTTGGTAACCACAAAGAAAACATCTACATAAAGGAGAACAAAATCAAAGCATGTCAATACCAAAAACTCAATGTAACATAAAGGAAGACAGCAAGAGAAAAAAAGGTACAATAGAATCACAAAACAGGCAGAAAACCCTTAACAGAATGGCAACAGTAAGTTATTCTCTAACAATAATTACTTGAAATGTTAATGAAATGTCAATAAAAAGACACAGAGTAACTGAATGTATAAACAAAAAACATCAGCTGTATGCTGTGCTCAACTGATTCATTTTAGATTTAAGGTCATACAGGCTAAAAACCAAAAGATATATGTATACACATACACACACATACATATTTACACATACACATCCTATACAAATAATAACCAAAAGAAAGCATGGTGGCTATACTTATATCAAACAAAATAGACTTTAAGTCAAAAACTACCTCAAGATAGAGGAAAATATAGAATGATAAAAGGATCAATTCACCAGGAAGATGTAACAAATATAAATATATATAGATATATATATATATGCACTAAACATTGGAACACCTAAATATATAAAGCAAACATTAACAGAAATAAAAGGGAAAATATAGAAATGCAATAATAATAGAAGACTTCAGTACTCCACTTTTGACAATGGGTAGAAGAGTTAATCAATAAGGACACAGATGGACCTGAACAACATGATAGACTAAATGGACCTAATAGACATATGCAGAACATTACACACAACAGCAATTGAATACACATTCTTCCCAAGTATACATGTAATTTTCTCCATGATAGATCATGTTAGGTAACAAAACCAATCTTAACAGATTTAAGAAGAATCCAATCATGCCAAGTTTCTTTACTGATCATCATAGAGACTAGAAATTAATAGACAGGAAACTGGAAAATCTATGAATATGTGGAAATAAACACACTCCTGAATAACCAGTGGTTCAAAAAATAAATCAAAAGTCAAATTTAAAAATACATTGAGACAACTTAAAACAAAAACACAACATACCAAAATTTATAGGATGCAGCAAAAGCAGTACTAAGAGGACATTTTATAGCAATAAACATCTATATTAAAAAGCAGAAGCTGGGCATGGTAGCTCATGCCTGTAATCCCAGAACTTTGGGAGGCCAAGGCAGGCAGATCACCTGAGGTCAGGAGTTTGAGACCAGCCTGACCAACATGGAGAAATCCTGTCTCTACTAAAACTACAAAATTAGTTGGGTGTGGTAGCATGCACCTGTAATCCCAGCTACTTGGGAGCCTGAGGCAGGAGAATGGCTTGAACCCAGGAGGTTGAGGTTGCAGTGAGCTGAGATTGCGCCATTACACTCCAGCCTGGGTAACAACAGTAAAACTCCATCTCAAAAAAAAAAAAAAAAAAAAAGAAAGATTTCAAATAAATTACCTAACTTTATACCTCAAAGAACTAGTAAAACAAACTAAGCCGAAAGGTAGGAGGAGAGAAATAATAAAGATTAAAGCAGAAATAAATAAAACATAGAATAGAAAATAAAATAAGATTTGGCTTTTTTTTAAAGGTAAGCAAAATTGACAAATCATTAGCTAGATTAAGAAAGAGAGGGATGCCAACAAATAAAATCAGAAATGAAAGTGGAGATATTGTAACAGATCTCTCAGAAATAAAAACGACCATAGTGACTATTACGAAAAATTGTATGCAAACAAATTGGATAACCTAGAAGAAATGAATAAATTATGAGAAACATAAAACTTATCAAGGCTGAATAATACATTAATAGAAAATTTGAACAGATTTATAAATAGTAAGGAATTGAATTACCAGCCAAAATCCTTCCAGTAAAAACAAAGCCCAGAACCAGATGACTTCAAGTGTTGAATTCAATCAGACATCCAAAAATTTAACATTAATTCTTTGCAATTCTTCCTAAAATTTAAAGAACACAGACTACTTCCAAACTTAGTTTATGAAATCAGCATTACCCTGATACTAAACCAGGCCAAAAAAAAAAAGATACTATAAAAAGAAAACCACAGGTTAATATGTCTGGTTAGCATAGATGAAAAAAATCCTGCACACAATACTGGCAAACCAAATTCAACAACACAATAAACATATCATACACCTTGACCAATATTATCCTTGGATGGAAGGATAATAATCCATATGCACATCAATAAATGGGTTATACCACATTAACAAATGAAGGGTAGAAACACATAATCATTTCAACAAATGCAGAAGACATTTGATAAATTTCTTTTTTTTTTAATGGCCCAAGATATAATTCTGACTGTGGTCTGGTTCATAAACCTTTATCACATTTTAAATGTCTGTTGTCTTACATACAATAAGGTGTTTTATGGGGGAATAGGTGGGTGGAAAAATGGGAGCAGGGCTTCTGAAGCTGACTAATACCTGAAGAATATGGCAACATGAGAAAGAACTGCTTGGTAAATGGAAGAAATTACCCAGCTGCTTTGGTAAATGGAGGAAAATCATCTCAAGGTTGTTAGCATAGGTAAGACCAGACTGTACATGGTGCTGAAAGACCCTTCAAAACAAAACCGTTTGCCATTCCTTTAACAGTTACTAATATCAAAAACTTTGAAATCTGCCATGAAAGGCAGAGCTTAAGATGGGGTGGAGCCATTAACTCCACTGCTCCCCTGGGCCTAAAGCCTGGTTTCCTTATGGGTGTTGGGGCCACACAAACAAGTCTCTTGTTTTCTACACAGTGAGAGTCAGGAGTCGAACATGTCCCAGATGATTGGAACAAGGCCAGAATCCTACAACCCTGCTGGTGTGATGAGTGAGGTCCATAAGAAAATGGGCAGAGGGTCAATTTGTTTCTTCTTTCACCAAAAAGACCATGAGGTCTATAGCTTGTGGTCACCCTAAGACTGCCGCTATCTTTCATGCCCAGAGTCAAGCCCTGCACTTCTATAATGCACACTCCCTATCCTGCCAATACCACAGATACCTTTAGGGGGTAGGGTGAGGGTTCAGAAGAATCCTCCACCAGCTATGAGGCAAGTACAGCTAGGTGGAATCCTCAAGGCTGGAGGGAACACACTGTGGTGGCTGGTCCATGGGGTAGAGCATTTGGTGAAGCAGGGCATGAGACACAGGGAGGTTGTCGGGATCCACGCCCAGCACCTGCAGCAGGCTGTGGTACTCCAGCTTGGTCTCCAGCAGTTTCAGCAGATTGGTAGACTCCATCTGCTCCAGCTGTACCTCCCAGTACACAGAGATCTTCTGGTTGAAAGTCACCTATAGGAGGCAGGGGCTATTGTGGCCCTCTTTGCAGGCATACAGGCCTACACAGAAGGCACGAATATTTTCATCTACTTGGAAGTGGAGGACGGTGTGGTTGTCATCAATCATATATGTCTGTCCATCCTAGCATGCAACTACCTCTTCATGCCCATTGCCAGTGACACCCAATTTCTCCAGAGCAAAGAGCTGGTGATCCACTTGCGCAGGTCACAGAAGCTTGTCTGCTTCCTCCATGAGCTTCAGCATCCCATACACAGAGCAAAGAGGCCAGAGCTGCCACTCTCAGTGCTGCGGCCTTGTTTGATGTTGCCAATTAGGTGAGTGGAGACATACTTGTAGATATGGCCGGATGTCTGGTGCAGGACCACATCTTGGTCAGCTGGGGTCTCCCTAATGCCATCTGTGGGCCCTTCAGAGGCAGAAGGGGATCCAGTGTCCTTTTACTGGGTACACAGTAGAACTGCACAAGCACAACCTGGCTGAGACACCATCAGTTTAGGAACATCTAGTGGTCCCAGAGTCAACCAAGAGGGTGTCCACCTGACCCCCCAGCATCCATTTTATTGAGGGACACCAGCTGCCTTGCCAGACGTTTGGGACCCTCACCTAGCTCCTCCCAGCAGAAAGCTCACACCACACAATCTGTGTAGCCCACCACCATCTCACAACACCCATCTCCGTCTGTGGGGATGAAACACACAAATTTCAACACTTTTTTGTGATTAAAAACTCTCAAAAACACCCATCTCCATCTGTGGGCATGAAAGACAAAAATTTCAACACTTTTTCATGATTAAAAACTCTCAAAAAAACAAGAAGATAAGAAAATAACCTCAACACAATACAGGTCATATATAAAAACCCCACGGTTAATGTTTTTCACAATGGTGAAAAATGGAAAGCTTCTCGTCTAGGATCGGGAATAAGACAAGGATGCCTACTCGTGTGACATCGTACTGAAAGTCCTAGCCAGAGCAATTAGGGGTGAAAAAGAAATAAAATGTCTCCAAATCAGAAAGGAAGCAATAAAATTAACTCTGTTTATACACAGCATGACCTTATCTGTATAAACCCCTAAAGATTTTACATACACACTCAAAATATAAAAAACATAGAATTAGAAACCAAAGTCAAAAAAAGTTGGCTCATACAAAATCAACATACAGAAAACAGTTGTACTTCTATATATTAACAATGAATAGCCAGAAAAGAAATTAAGAAAACAACCCCATTTACAATGATATAAAAAATAAAATACTAAGGAATAAACTTAAATAAGGAGCTGAAATACTTATACATTAAAACAATGAAATATTGATAAAAGAAATTAAAACACACACTAATAAACAAAAAGACATTGTGTGTTCATTGACTGGAAAATTCAACATTGTTAAAATATCCATATTACTAAATATGACTTACAGATTCAGTGCAATCCCTATCAAAATCCCATTGACAGTTTTTTTCAGAAACAGAAAAAAAAATTCAAAAATTAATATGAAACAACAAAAGACCCAATTGCCAAAATGGTCTCAAGAAAAGAACAAACCTAGAGGCATAAATTTTTCTGATTTCACAATGTATTATAAAATGAAAGTAAATAAAACAGCATGATACTGGTATAAGACAGACATATGGACCAATGGAACAGAATAGAGAGCTGAGAAGTAAATATGCACATATACCATACCATGTATATCCACAAATAAACAGTAAACTGATCTTTGACAAAGGTGCCAAGAACACATAATGGGGAAATGATAGTCTCTTTAATAAGCGGAATTTGGAAAAAGAATAAAATTGGACTCTTACTTTATATCACACACAAAAACCAACTCACAATGGGTTAAATGTAAAGACTTGAAACTACCAAATTCCTAAGAGAAAATGGAGAAAACCCCTTATAACATTGATCTTGGTAATGACTTCTTGAATACGACACAAAAAACACAGCCAAAAAAGAAAAAGAAAAAATACATAACTGGGACTAAACCAAACTGTAATTTTTCTGAACAGCAAAGGAAACAATCAACAGAGTAAAAGGCAACTTATGGAATGGAAGAAAAAACTTGTGAACCATTCATCTGATAAGGGTTTAATATCTCAAATATGTAAGGAACTCCATCAACTCAAATAGCAAAAAAGAAAAATAATGCAATACAACACCAGAAACCCTGATAAAAAAAAGTACGAACTATTTGAACAAAAATTTCTCTAAAGAAGACAAACAAATGGCCCACAGGTATATGGTAAGATGCTCAGCATCAATAATCATAGGGGAAGTCAAAACATTAACGAGATAGTGTCTGGCACCTCTTCAGATGGCTACAATAAAACATAAAAAAAAGAAGAAGCGAACAACTGTTAGTGATGGTCCAGGTGCCCTTGGTGTGTTTTACAAGGAAATGTGTGGACTACAGGTGTATACTTCCTGTTGAACATATAGACTTCTACCCCTGTGGGTTTGGATATGGTTGGAAATGAACTATAGCTGGGCCCTCTAAAGAATGCAGGTCTAGAGGATTGTATCACCTGGAAGATACTCCAAATTTCAGAAAACGCTTAAGTAAAAGATAAGGGGAAACTAGCAGTGAAGCAATAAATGTTAAGGATTGCATGCCTATATTTAACCATAAAGAAAAGCAGAAAAGGGAGCCCTTATAATAGTTTATTCTGGAATTAAGTACTATACAGACATCAGTTTAGTGTACCATGCAGAAGAAGTTGAAAAAAGATTCATAGACAATGGAAAAGAGATGAAATTCTTCTATTAACTAGAAATATAATGGAATCTGTGGCTGTTAATACACCTCCACTTGCAGATTTAAGCAAAGAATCAATGCCCACTATATTGAACAAGTATGGATCTATTTTACCTAGTCAAAAATGCAAAAAGGTAAACAAAAATTTAAAATGAAATCTGGAGAAAAAATAAAGTAAAGCAAAATAAACTGCCTTCTGTAGGATCAAAGAACAGTTTTAGAAAATGTATTACAGAAGTAGCTAAAAGAAAATGTTTGGAACTTGTCGACATTCTAGAAAGAGTAAAAGAAGACTTGGCCTTTATAAAACTGAGAAAAGAATGTATAAAGGGAAAATATTGAAATTAAAAGTAACAGATAATATGAAGAGAAATATAGGTGTGATAAAGAAGAATTTCAGATATTCGAAAGCCACAATGTAACAACTCATCTACATTGGAGGCAGTTGTAAAATTAAACCTTAGGACAGAATGGTATTGCCTAGGTTGTCTTTCAGGGTTTTTGTAGTTTTGGGGGCTTTACATTTAAGTCTTTAATCCATCCTGAGTTAATTTTTGAATATGGCATAAAGAAGGGGTCCAGTTTCAAATTTCTGCACATGGATAGCCAGACATCTCAGCCCCATTTATTGAATAGGGAGTCTTTTCCCTATTGCTTATTTTTGTCAGGTTCCTTGAAGGTCCAACAGTTATAGGTGTGTGGCCTTATTTCTGGGTTCTTGATTCTGTTCCATTGGTTTATGTGTCTATTTTGTACCAGTACCATGCTGCTTTAGTTACTGTCATCCTGTAATATATTTTGAATATGGGTATCATAATGCCTCCAGCATTGTTCTTTTTGCTTAGAAGTGCCTTGGCTATTCGAGCTCTTTTTTGATTCCATATGAATTTTAAAATAGTTTTTTCTAGTTCTGTGGAGAATGTCATTGGTGGTTTAATAAGAATAGCATTGAATCTATAAATTGCTTTGGGCAATATGACCATTTTAATATTTATTCTTATCCATAAGCATGGAATGTTTTTCCATTTGTTTGTGTCATCTCTGATTTCGTTGATAGGCAATACCACTCTGAACATAAGAATGGAAAATATTTCATGACAAAGATGCCAAAAGCAATTGCAACAAAAGCAAAATTTGACAAATTAAATCTAGTTAACTAAAGTGCTTCTGCACAGCAGATAAAATTATCAACAGAGTGAATAGATAACCTACAGAATGGAAGAAAATTTTTACAAATCATGCATCTGACAAAGGTCTATTATCCAGCACCTGTAAGAAACTTAAACAAATTTACAAGAAAAAACAAACAACCCCATTAAAAATGGGCAAAGGGCATAAACAGACACTTTTGAAAAAAAGATATGCATGCAGCCCATAAGCATATGAAAATAATCTCAACATCAATGATCATTAGAGAAATGCAAATCAAAGCCACAATTAGATACCATCTCACACCAGTCAGAATGGCTACCATTAAAAAGTCAAAAAATAACAGATGTTGGTGAGGTTTTGGAGAAAAAGGAAGGCTTACATATTGTTGGTAGGAGAGTAAATTAGTTCAACCATTATGGAAGACAGTGTGTAGGTTACTCAGAGACCTAAAAACATAAATTCCATTCAACCCAGCCATCCCATTACTTGGTATATATACAAAAAATATATAAATCATTCTTTCATAAAGTTGCACACTATTCACAATAGCAAAGACATGGAGTCAGTCTAAATGCCCATCAATAGTAGATTGGAGAAAGAAAATGTGGTACATCTGATCTTTGATAAACCTGACAAAAACACGCAATGACAAAAGAATTTCCTATTTAATAAATGGTGCTGAAAGAACTGACTAGCCATATGCAGAAAATTGAAACTAGACCACTTCCTTACACCTTACACAAAAATCAACTCAAGATGGATAAAAGACTTAAATGTAAAACACAAAACTGCAAAACCTTAGAAGAAAATCTGGACAATATCATTGAGGACATATGCACAGCAAAGATTTCATAATGAAAATGCCAGAAACAATTGCAACAAAAGCAAAAATTTACAAATGGGATCTAATTAAACCAAAGAGCTTCTGAACAGCAAAAGAAACTATAATCAGAGTGAACAGAAAACCTACAGGTGGGAGAACAGTTTTGCAATCTATTTATCTGACAAAGATTTAATATCCAGAGTCTACAAGGAACTGAAATAAATTAACAAGAAAAACAAAACCATTAAAATGTGGGCAAAGGACATAAAGAGATTCTTCTCAAAAGAAGATATTCATGTGGCCAATAAACATATGAAAAAAGTTCAACATCACTGATCCTTAAAGAAATGCAATTCAAAATCACAATGAGATACCATCTCTTGCGAGTCAGAATGGTGAATACTAAGAGTCCAGAACTCACAGATGCTGGTGAGGTTGTGGAGAAAAAGAAAGGCTTTTACACTGTTGGTGAAAGTGTAAATTAGTTCAACCACTATGGAAAACAGTGTGGTGGGTTCCTCAAAGATCTAAAGGCAGAAATGCCATTTGACCCATTGGTATTTGATGCCCAGTAATCCCATTAGTTGGGCATATACCCAAAAGAATAGAAAATAATCTATTTTAAAGATATAATCACAAGTATGCTCACTGCAGCAGTATTCACAATATCAAAGACATGGAATCAACCCAAATGTCCATCAATGATAGACTAGACAGAGACAAGGTGGTAAGCATACACTATGGAATACTATGCAGCCATAAAAAGGAATAACATCATGCCCTTTACAGTCACATGGATGGAGCTGGAAGCCATTATCCTCAGCAAACGAATG